AAAAAACGCCAAAAACCACCAAAAAACAACTGGTGCCAGAATTTTTGTAGTGTAAAATTGGTGTCTCTACAGGATGCAGAAATGGCCATAGAGCATACTGATAAATTTTTCTCCCAGAGAGCAGGTTAAGTTTTATGTAGATGCTTGGGCAGCTCCCATAAGGACCCAAGGTTTCTACACTGCCAGTAGAAGAACTGAGTGTCTGTAATATTCTTGGGCAAAAAGGAAAACTATGGCTTATGCTAGAATATGAGTGGACAGTTGCTTTCATAGTGACCAGTGAAAAAGAATCACCTGAAGAAATACTTCTTAAATAATATAAATCATTAGCAGCATCTGTGCACAGCCTTTGTAATTAATTATCCTTACAGTTAACATTGAACCCTATTATTAAGGAAGTGTTGATAAAGAAGCAATCCTTTATTAACTCTACAGATTTAACAATGCATCATGAACTCTAGAAAAATCTTTGCTCCAAGGAAGGAATAGATTGATTACTAGAATGACCTTGTACTGTCTGTAGAGTTTACTAGAGTTGAATAATGAATTTCATTTTGGTTGATAATATACTTTTGTGAACACATATAATTATCACAAATTAATTTTAAAATGAATAAATTAATTGGGAAATTAAAACAGATTAAGTCATTACTGTAGTAATATGAAATTTTGCATAACAGTCCTAATTTATCATGAAGGAATTATGAATGCTAATGAATTAAGTACTTGACATCTTTTCACAAAGGAGTATCTTTACCTAATTTTAGCCTGAGAAGGTTTTCTTGTAACTCTCACTGAAATCCTATTTTCTATTACAAAGGGCCCCCTAGGTTGCCGATTTTACCAGAAAAATTTTCCAAATAAGAAATTCAGTATGACATTTTTCTCCATGAAGCATTATCAAGAAGATCTCCTAATGCTAATGTGTTTATATTTTGTCATATCTAGTAGTTAATGGTATTGCTGTGTCATACAAAGGAAGAAAGGAAAAGGTACAGTGGTCTTTTAAAATAGGTGTAGAATTTTAAAATAGGTATGGTGTCATACATATGTGCACTGTAGGGCACATATGTCTTCTCTACAAGTGCACAAGTCTTCTGTAATTTTTTTTCATTGTCTTTTTATGTAAGAAGGAAAAATGTAAGCTTCAGAATACATGGGTTCACTTTTAGTACTTCTCCATCCAGTTCAAATTCTGTACAGTGTTATTATCCCAAAGCTGTATTCCAGTAATATTTATCTCAAATCAAAAACCTGGCTGCAACATTTGACACTCCTTGAATCACCATTGTCAGACGCAAGCCAAAGGAGAACACACTTCTCCAAATGGAACTATTCTAAGAAAAGAAAAGAAAAGAAAGACTATTCCCAAAAGGAAGTACTACTTGGAGTAATTGTGCTAATTCTAAATTCAGTAAGACAATGCTTTTAAAGAAATGATCATATCCGTTGAAGATGTTTCTACCTGTTAAATAAGATGTAGATTACTAAAAATCGTCAAGTAAAAAAAAAATAAAAATCTGTTTGCACAAGGGCATATAAAAGTGCACTGTACTTGTTAATGAGAGTTTATTAACAAATAATGGTAGGAAAAAATACAAGCTCTCCAAATATATGCTATCACTTTTACTTTTTATTTTAAAATCCATGAAATCCAGAAATTCCTGCAATTTCTCCAAAGGTACTAGTTACAGAGTTATGGTTGCAAAGATCACTGTATCCTCCAGACAAATCTAGGGAAATCTTCCACTTTATTAGAAAAAAATAATAGTCCACATCACTTACTGGCTTTTCTTCCCAGGACCTACACATGGTGTTTCACTTAGTCTGACTTTGTTTTCTCCCCAGATTTCCTACCGGGGTGATCCTCCACCCCTGACGCCTTGCCTTTTATTCCAATCCAATAATCAGTGCTGAAATCGTTGCAGTCTCACTGCTGTAAACACCAGCTCTTGTCTAGACTCTCAATTACAAAAGACTAGAAGGTCAGTAGTGATGGAAGGATATATGTTACAGACTTAAATCTAAATTAATATAAAATAAGGACTTTGTTAAGTGCAAGACTGCTCTGTATGAATTAGAAGTACAGCTGGTGACATATATACAAAGAGAATAGAAAGCAAACTCTGGCAAAACAATGAGTAGAATGCCAAAGGTGGTGTCATACTACTGACATAGATATCATTATTCACCCACAATAAAACATCTCAGGATCATTGAAAATAAGCTGAGCATTTGTAGTTACAATTGTTCAGGTGGAGATACAGAGGTAATAAAACCAGAAGAGAGTAGGAGAGGGCAGGGCAAGGAAGGGCAGGGAAGGGCAAGGGGCAGGCAGCAAAACATGTATTTCAACTGTGCATACAATTCCAAGTTTTTCCATCCAAATTCAACAACAGAATAAAACACTTCCATTCTTTTTTACATTTTTAACTCATCTTTTTGGTGATGTAGTAAGCTTACATAGTTTCAGCTTTCCATAAGAGAAAAAGAACTAAGACTTAACACTGAAGTTCAAAGGAAGAGTAGGAAGATCCCAGAAAAAAGGAGGTTAGGCAGAGTCCCTCCATCAGAAGACTGACAAGAGTGAACACCTGACTGAAATTGCTAATCATATTTGAAGAATGCTCCACAGAAGAGACATTTTGAAGGGCACTACTGGTATACATATTAATTTCAGCTGCTTTTAGGAGTGATTGAATTTATCGTCTAGGTGGGATGCGGGAGGGGGTAAGGCACAAGCACAAACCATCAGATATAAACCATTGCAGATAACTTCAGAAGATGTGAGATTATCATAATTTCAGTTCAAGAATTGTGTCCATATACTTTAAACAGATATGTCTAACTATACATAAAGAAAACTTCTGTATGTCCAGAAGACATATGCTTTTAAACGTAAAATACTTTCATAGGACAGTGTGCTAATTAAACAGGAACAAGATAATAACATTTTAGAGGTAAGATACAAAAAGCAAACAAACAGAATTAGGGAAATCCAGGGTGCTGAGACCAGAAAGAGAAAAAATGTTTCTCATTGAAAAAGGCATGGAAGTAATTTCCCACATCCAGCTCTATTCACTTTCCAATGACACATGGCCATGCTAGAAATTGCTGTTGTAAATTTTACCAATCCTATTCTTAAGCACTAAATGCACTGAAAGTAATGCTGCTAATCACAAGCACTGTAGGTTATTGCCTTTCTGCCTTACCAAAACTAGATCACAGGCATCCTGGTGAGAGGCACCTTGTAATCTATGCTAATTCATCAGAATTCCATAAACCTAGCCATCATTTCTGAAATCCAGTGCTAACAGGGAGGGGTGTAAGTGAAGCACCAGAAAATACACAAGCAACATCCTGCAAACTTCCCTACACATCATTATGCAAAATAACACCATTTTCTGCTATTAATTGCAGTAATCTCGGGTGATAGCTTATTGTTATTACAACCCAGGACAGTAATACACCGGATGGAAAGGATAAATGACTTTTAAATCTCTCTTATCTGAAAACAATTTAAATTCAGTAATGTTGATAAAATCAGCTAAAGCTTCCCACATAATCTAGTTATGGTTCCATTTGGTTTGAGAACAAATCCTTGTTATCTGTGTTGCCTTCCATCCCAGGCACAATTGCCTTCATACAACATATTAATTCTATAAATCATAGCATTATGCAGTTTAAATCAGGAAAAATAATTTTCAGTAATGTTACTCTAAGGTATAATTTCAATCTTGCTTCTTGAAGGCATGTTCAAATATGTCCTCCAGAAATGTGATTGCTTTGGCCAGAGTCCATCATTTCCATCTGCTCTTAATGCTCCTCCCCCAGTACCCCATGCTGCACAGAGGACTCCTAAGTCAAAAGTAACTGCCATCACTTCTTTCCACAAGCAAAGGCTAAGAGATGCAGCTTCTTATAGCTTGGAGTTTCCACTTTCACAACTGGGTTGTTGTTGAAAACCACAGACAGAAAAGCTCATACGTCAGCTACTGAGCATTATTTGGTTTTCAGGAACTGATGTAATTTGTTTCATCTCTCCCCAGTTCATATCAATGAGTTTTGTTTTACCTGTCTTAGTCTGGGCTCTGAATACCTCCAGGGTGGAGGCTCCACAGCCTCTCTGGGCAACCTGTTTTAGAGCTTGACCATCCATCCTCATAGCAAAAAAGGATTTTATGAAGGCAAAAAGCATCATACGTACCAATGCGAACCCCATCATCCCAATAAAGATGTCTTTCTGCACTCAGAGTGTCATTCAAAGCGACAATGAGTCTCATGGGTTTTTTTCAGCTGTAGGAAACACAGTATTTTTTTTTTCTCAGTTTCCTCGGGTAATTAATCACATTTCATATTTCTCAAATGTTAGAATGTTTTAAAATATATTGCATACCACTCAATTTATCTCCCAGTCATCTTCCTAAACCAATCCTATGAAATTTAAAGGAGGCCATTAGGAGGAAAGAAAAACCAGCCATAAAGCTCCAGTGCCATCATACCTGTATCTTCTCTGAAGGCTGGTAGTATTCTATTTTTTTGTATTTGTGCAAAAGAAGATTTTAAATTGCAGTCAACCTTACCTGTATAAAGGTGTATTATCGGGCTTTTGCCAAAAAAACTATATCTGCTTCAGATACATTCATAAAAAGCTGGTTAAAATTTTAATAGTCCCTAAAAGCCAGTGTCTTTATCCTATTTATGACAAAACAGCCTTCTACTAAATTGTTTTCACATTACAATTTTTTTTCTTAGAATGAAATTATCACGTTTTCTATACAATTAATTAGGACTGCAAATCCTCCTCTTACTGCAGGAATAACTACCTAATAGTTTTAAGAGTACTGTTCAAATAAGATGAGCCTGAAAGCTCATATTCTTAATCTTGCTCTTTTTTGTTGAAAGTTGATGTTAACTAAGGAAAAAAATCCTAAGAGTGTCATAACTACAGAAGTTTGAGCAGAATTTCCTGCTAAGAAGATCAAAGCTGTTCCCCTTACTCATGGAGCATAGGGCAGATCGTTGTGCTGCCACAGATAGGCATGGGTGTCATGCATTAATATGTAGAGATTGGATAACAGGATGTATCTTATATACAGCATGTTCTTGGAAGTCTCCTCAGATGTTGACTTACAGGAAACAAGATATTGCCTCTGAAAGAGAAAAGACTTTATTAGTCCAGCTTGATTGTTTTGTTCAGAAAATAAATAAAAAAAAAACAAAAGCAAAAAGCAGAAAAACAGGTTAACAAATTTTTTTATATTTACAAAAGACTTCACAGTTGGCATCTCTTTTCATTTCTGTTTGTCTGCAAACTTCATATAACCTATTAGCAATTGCCAAACATGCATTAAAATCAACATAGCAAGAGAAAGACAAGGAAATTTCTCTGCCAAATTAGAATACCTTCATTTATTTATGCTTCAATTAAGAAGTAAGTGACACTAAAATCAGCAGGTACCACTGTCAGCCCTAAGAGGGGAACTAGAAAGGGAAAAGGTGAGAAAAACCTGTGGGGAATACTATAAAAACTGCTTAATGCAAAGTGTCCCAAAGGCATGACACATCCTAGTCTACATAATTTATTATCACTCTTTTCTGCAGGGCAGCACTCAGGACTTGCAAGCAGAGAGTGAAGCACTAATGACTGATGTCAGGGAGCACTTCCAATCTCTATTAAACGTATTGCACAATACCTTGGCAAATTGGGCAAGACTGGAAGCGACATGATAATCCTGAATCTGCATTTTTTTAAAGGCATTAAAAGACCTATCGAAAGGTATGCCGCTGCAAGATAAAGCACACAGTTTCTGAAAAGGAGACTTTAATCCATCAGATATATGCTATATAAATAGCTCTACTCTGCTAGACCTGGAGCTTTAACTGGAACAGAAGTGCTGTTCCCATTTTTATTTTTTATTTTTTTCCAGTTATCTTGTTTTACAGCTTTCTACAGTATAGTCCTTAGCCAGCACAGACCGACATTTAGGCAATTACTTTCCTTTACTCTTAAAAGAAATACAATATCTGATGGTGGCATATGTGCAGAGTACAGAAATTGCCGAGTCTTACTCCAAAATCTTATTACACTGTTCCATTTTCTCATTTGATGTATAATTATGGTCAATTAGGACTGAGAGCACTAAGGTCAGCTTTGCCCCTTTAAGTGCATTTGACACCAAAGCGCTCTATTTTAGTCTTGCCAGTGTAGCGTGTTTAAATAAAAATGATGCACAGGGAAAAATACATAGGAGTTGGGTTCCGTCAAAGCAAACTTAGAATATGCTTCCTGTGAGCAGTCCAAATCCCAGAGCAGCATAAAGCTTCCCAGATGAGGGGAAGCCTTATAGGCAAGTTAGCATAAAAAGAAAGACAATTTTTATTTGATAAAGAGCCAAACATCTTTTTGTGTCCATTTTGTTTGGAATGTAATTTTTTGAGCCAGGTGAGCTTGTATGATGTTCTGGCTGGTCTCTATATTGTGTTGCAAAGGTCCAGCAGTTAACAGCTCTCAAAAACTTGTGACTCACCCTTGCTCCTTTCCAATTGTGATACACTGAATATGAGTAAAATGAGCCTAGTTCCATTCAGCGAATACACAGCTCATACTCTGAGTCTTTGAAGAAACCACAGGTATCGGCTCCTGTCTGAAAGTTTCAAAATGACCCAGTTGGGACACAATAAAATTACGTACAGCACCAAGAAAATTAAATGTAAGGTAATAGCTCATTAGCTTACATAAGAGACTGAACTGCATCATACTTGACAGGAAAAGTAATACCTTAAATTTTCCAGACTTTGGTATTTTAATGGTTACACAGGTAATATATTTTCACCAAGTAATGCCATTTGTCAAATGCTTGAAAATAATATTATTTTTCTCAAATGAAACTTTGGTCATTTCCACAGAGTACCTGCAGAGGCAACCAAGTAAGGTTAAGGGGAACTTATGGCTCCTGGTTTCTCAACTGAGGATATGAGCACCTTTCTCTGTAGCATATGCTATCGGTCTATGCTGTGTGATCAGCATGGATGCATTACTGCTCCACTTTCTTAGAACAGCTCCTTTGCAGCCATGCACCCACTGTGAATCATTGCAGCAAAGTACTAAACCACAATACTAATCAGGAAGCTTCACCGACTAAAACACACTGCTTTCCAATGCTAACTCCACAATAACTGTCTAAACAGCTGTTTCAAAAATGCACTATTTATTTATTTTTCTACTGGATTTGCAGCTTTAATGACATTATAATTACAGCAAAAATACAGAAGTCACTTTAATTACTGTAGTAATTGAACTAGACTAATGTGCTGGAACTATTTCTTCCAAGACAAACTAAGTTTTCTAGTATCTTATTTTTTTGTAACATGCTAGCCAACATTTTCAGCCTCTGCTTAGTCTACTCTACTTCAACAATGCTTTGGAAATTGCAGAAAAAATTTCAAATGTAAAGGAAGTGTATATGATGCATAGAACTGTTCAAGAATGAGAATGGCCTGAGTACTTTGCTGACTCAAGGTGCCAACACTGTGCTCCAGGGCTGAGCCAAAGCTGTATCCATGAAAAGCAATTACATGTGTTCTGTTGCACAAGTACTCCTTCAGTTACTACTAAAGAATAAAGTGGAAACTGAGCTATATATAAATTCATAGAACCATGGAATTATACAGTGGTTAGGGTAAGAAAGGACCTTAAAATCATTGTAGTTCCAGCCCCCACTGCCAAGGGCAGCAACACCTCAGACTAGACCATGTTGCCCAAGGTTCTGACCAGCATAGCCTTGAACACTGCCAGGGATGGAGCATTTACCACATCTTTGGGCAACTTGTTCCAGTGCCTTTCCACCCTCACAGTAAAGAACTCCTTCCTTATACCTAACCTGAACTTCCCCTGTTTTAGTTTGAACTCATTATCTCTTGTCCTATCACTACAGTCCCTGATGCAGAGTCCCTATCCAGCATCTTTGTAGGCCCCCTTCAGATACTGGGAGGCTGCTATTTTCTATAAATTTCAAGTGTGAGAATGTCTGGAAACGGTATGTAAATGATCATACTTTCTAGTTACAGTACCTCTCAAAACAGAAAGAAACATTTCACTACATTTTCCTTCATACTTAATACACAGAAATGCTGGTAATATTGCTGTCAAATTATTGTCAATTATAGAAGTAAACCAGGCCATGCCAGCTAAATCTAGAAACAAAAAGTATTTTATATTTTAATTACAGTAATTATGTGAGCCTGGAGTAATTACTGTTCCCAAGAGCTGATCAGTCCTGTTCTCCATTTTGCCTTGTGAATGAATACCAGAGCAGAGTCTTTGGATTGATTGCTTCCATTTACAATGCAGAGCATCACCCTGGCTTGGTCTTGGTGGCTGTCTCATAATAGAAACCTCTGCTGAAAAGAAGACACATTGTGTTTGAATGTGTTGGGACAAGGAAACACTCGATGGTGAGTAATTACATACAAATTAAACTATATAAGAAACAGCACTGTAACCATTTTATTTCATAATCCAAGCCAGTAATTAAGCCTGTACAACATTATGTTTATATGGATGAAGACCTTGAAACAGGTATACCAAGAACTGCTCCCCAACTGTGCAAACAGTAAGTTTCTTTAGTACCAGACTTGGATAAACTCTCTTTAAAATGTACCTTGAAAACTGCATCTGCTCAGGGTCATTGATTTTAAAACTGCTAGACTCAAAACAAAGACTTTGCCTGCTTGTCCTGAGACAGTCAGTGATGCAGCTGCAGGTGTAGACATGCTTAAGCAGGTGTGGGTTTTTTCTTCCAGCTGGCTCCAGTTGCAGAAGGTATTTACTGCAGTGAAACAGCAGAAGCACAGCTTCAGCTTAGAACTGTGCAGACATACTTCCCCTTCTGCACATCCCTTCCAACAGCTCAGGTTCATATTACCCTGCCTGCACCATGGGCAAAATCACTGTGCTAACCGGGCAGTAGGGGGACTGAAATAATCTCAAGCTGTCACAGATACAGAGCTGCTGCTTAAACTTTGGAACATCAAAGTCCACTTCTAGCTGAACTGAAGAATCAAAGATACTGGATTGAAAAAGGAGATTTCTCAAGCATATTAAATAAACTAGTGAAAATTTTGGCCATATGAAAGTAGAGATAGAATATTAATTTCAAAAATACTGTGACTACAGAAATACAGTATATGCTAATTTAGAAGAAACTGCAAACATGTTTAAATGCTAACACATTTAAATGCTAACGCATATTTAAACATTATATAAAAACAAAATCTGAGTGGCGTAGTGGGAAGGTTCATATCTGAATGTTACCTTCCCAAGAATTCCTGAGAAACTCTGCCTAATAACCTATTACAACAGTGAGCAACACAAGTGCTTTAATAAACCATTAATAAATACTTGCTAAGAAGTACTTAAATAGAGCCAAGCTAATAAGTATTTCTAGTATTTTTTAAATGCTATTCTATAGATAGATGCTAATTAGAGGATAATACAGGCATTTATCCAAAACCCATTGGATATTCAGGCAACACTAGATGAGAACTTTTCATTTGCTTTATTCATACAAGTTATCCTTAAAATAGCCACTGAGAATTGCAACCTATTTATTAAAGATCTCCTGACAACAAGTTTAAAATTACTTTCAGTTTCCTGCTACAGTCGAATTGAAGCATTCTGAGGTTAGATAAGCTAATGTATGTTAATGACTTAGGCTTCCATGTCTGGATATTTAATATCAATTCTGCCTAGTTGTTCTCATGAAACTATGCCTACTCCATACATATTAATTGTTAATGGATATTTAATCATTTGTTTTCACCAAAATCAAAGCACCTTTCAACCTGAGCAAGTGTTCAAAATATATTCACTCTGTAACAGGCCTGGAGTTTGACTTTACATGGATGGTCATATCCAAATGACCAAAACTACAAAAGAGATAGCTCATAGTTGTGTTCCAGATTCCTTTTATTGCTTGTTTCAGAAATAAGAAAAGGCTGGCAGGTGTCTGTTACAGGCAGTTAACCTCTACTCTACTGTGATCTTGTGGGGTTCTAACAAGTGAAGGTTCGCATTCAATTTTCCTGCTATAAAAATACCAGTCCCAAGTCAATTCCATTCCTTATTATATTAAAAGTCCAAACAATGGATCTGTACTGTGGCTGGCACATGTGCCAGTGTGTAACTTCCTCATTGCTCTCCACGTGAAAGTTTATGTTAATTTTTAATTCAACAGCATTAGAACCAGCTACTGATTTTGTTATGAGTCTCAAACTCCAACAGTGACTGAGGTTTCCTATCTACTAATGATTATATGATTGAAAAAACCCCACTAATGCATGTGCTTCATTCCCACATTCTCATGCATTCTTTCTCAGTCACTGGTGTTTTAACATGGTAAAGGAAAGAATAACTTTATCAGAAATTATTACTATTATTATACTTAAATATGCTATTGTATCACTTGGAGTCCTTGTCATATGGTACCTAGGGTCAATACTGAATAGAAACACTAGTTGGACTTTACTCTGCCGTAAATTAACCCTGCCAAGGACATTTCAGTTTAAAAAAACCCAAAACCCTAAAACACAGCCTTGAAGTAGATTCTGTGGGTGCAGACAAGCCGTACATCTCCCTCACTCTCTGGAAACATTCAGCTATATTTTTACCATATTCAAAGACTTTTTCAGTATTTTGGGAATTACAAAGATTACATTCACCACCTTCTGGCCTCTGCTTTAACTACCACTGATGTTTTGTATTCCTCTCATTCAATAAATGTTGTTGCTGAGTTTATTATTCTTAAATAGAATTTCCATAGATTCTTATGTTAACTAGGAAAATTAAAACCAGCAGATTTTAATGCCAGTTAAAATGACAGTGCTTTGAAAATGACTTATCTTTGATTTTCCAAAATATTTTGCTTCTTAGTAAATCTTAAAGGAGAATGAGGAAGGAAAAAAAGAACAATCCTTGAAGGTACTGCTCCTAACACTGAAAATTATTGCAAGATCTTTTAAAATGGGGACTTGGGATTTGAGTCTTGGAACTAAAGGCTTATAAAAGATGGAAGCAAGGACAGGCAGCCTGGAAAGAATACAGGGATGTTGTCCGGGAAGCTAGGGACCAGGTTAGGAAAGCTAAGGCCCAGTTAGAATTAAACATGTCTATGGATGTTAAAGATAAGAGGAAGGAATTCTATAGGTACATAGCAAATAAAAGACAGACTAGGGACAACACAGACACCCTCTGGAAGCCATCAGGAGAACTGGCTACCCTGGATTTTGAGAAGGCTGAGGTTCTTAATGACTTCTTTGTCTTAGTCTTCACTGGCAAATGCTCTGACCACACCACCCAAATCTTGGAAGGCAGATGCAGGGACTGTGAGAATGAAGACCTTGGGCCCACTGTAGGAGAGGATCTGATCTTAAGAACCTGAATGCACACAAGTCCATGGGGTCTGACGAAATCCCTCCACAGGTCCTGAAGGAGCTGGCAAATGAAGTTGCTAAGCCACTGTCCATCATATTTGAAAAATCATGGCAGTAAGGTGAAGTTCCTGAAGTCTCACCTCCGTGCCTGGCAAAAGCTTGGAGCAGATTCTCCTGGAAGGCATGCTAAGGCACATGAAAAACAACAGGGTGATCGGTGACAGCCAGCATGGCTTCACTAAGGGGAAATCCTGCCTGACCAATTTGGTGGCCTTCTATGATGGGGCTACAGAAATTATGGACGTAGTAGAGCAGTTGATGTCATCTACCTGGACTTGTGCAAAGTGCTCAACACTGCCCCACACAACATCCATGTCTCTAAATTGGAGAGACATCAATTTGATGGATGGAGCACTCGGTGGATAGAGAATTGGCTGGATAGCGAACCACAAAGATTTGTGGTTCATGGCTCAATGTCCGTCTGGAGACCAGTAACAAGGGGTGTCCCTCAGGGATCGGTGTTGGGACCAGTCTTGTTCAACATCTTTGTCAGTGACATGGACAGTGGGATTGAGTGCGCCCTCAGCAAGTTTGCCAATGACACCACCTCTGTGGTTCGGTTGAAACGCTAAAGGGAAGGAATGCCATCCAGAGGGACCTTGAAACACTTGTGAGGTGGGCTGATGTCAACCTCATGAAGTGTAACCATGACAAGTGCAAGGTCCTACACCTGGGTCAGAGCAATCCCAGTCACAGCTACAGGTTGGGCAGAGAAGATCAGAGCAGCCCTAAGGAGAAGGGCTTGTGGGTGTTGGTAGATGAGAAAATTAACATGAGCCAGCTTTAGTGTGCGCTCACAACCCAGAAAGCCAACTGTATCCTGGGCTGCATCAAAGGGAGTGTGACCAGCAGGTCGAAGGAGGTGATCCTGCCACTTTACTGTGCTCTCGTGAGACCTCACTTGAAGTATTGTGTGCAGTTCTTGTGTCCTCAACAGAAAAAGGACATGGAGCTGTTGGAACAAGTCCAGAGGAGGGCCACGAGGATGATCAGGGGACTGGAGCACCTGCCGTATGAAGACAGGCTGAGAAAGTTGGGTCTGTTCAGCCTGAAGAAGAGAAGGCTGCGTGGAGACCTCATAGCAGCCTTCCAGTACCTGAAGGGGGCCTATAAGGGTGCTGGGGATGGATTCTTGATTTAGGACTGTAGTGACAGGAGAAGGGACAACAGTTTAAAACGTAAACAGGAGAAGTTTTGTTTGGATATAAGGAAGAAATTTTACTGAGGCACCAGAATGGGTTGCCCAAGAAAGGTGTGAATGCTCCATCCCTGTCAGTGTTCAAGACCAGGCTGGAGAGAGCCTTGAGTGACATGGTTTAGTGGAAGGTGTCTCTGCCCAACACGAGGGGGTTGGAACTTGATGATCTTAAGGTCCTTTCCAACCCTAACTATTCTATGATTCTATAAAAATAAGATACTTATAAGATCTTTTAAAACAAAATATTTACATTGGAAATTGTGACCTCATAGTAAATGTAGGCTTCAATGTCAATTGTACCTAAAGAGTAAAGAAAGAAGTTTACATTTGCAGTGTGGAAAGGAACAGCATTAAAACTAGGACTGTGCCACTACTAGAGACCAATAGATTCCTAATTATTATCATTACTGCATTTAGAGACTGCATGATCGGCTCAAATGTTTACTAATGTTTCTTCGAGAAATGGAAAAGCCTCCCTTACTTTTTTCCTTAGGTCAGTCTCCCAGGATGTCTAATTTTCCACATTTCCCAAAAATTCATTGAAACCATCTTTTCTGAAATGTACTGGTATTTTTATTTTATTTTACTGTTACAGCTTCTTACCTTGTCTTAAATGTAGATGAATGGCTAGAAGCTAATCCTTTAAAATACCCTAAACACTGCTTTTCATGCAAAAATGACAATAATAATAGCAATCTCTACCACAGAACCATAAGAGAGGAAATAATGCACATCCAGGGAAAAAAAATCCAAATGTTGAGTCAATCTGGTATTTTTTCCACAACATACATAACGGAAAATACTGTCATTGCAAACAAATTGTAAACAGTTTCCCTGAAGAGAGTGCAACCTGTAAGTTTTGGTCAGGAAATAAACTCACAAGATGTTTTATTGCTTTGTTGCTTAACAGAAGTGAGTACAATAACAGCTTTGTTATTTTAGGCCTGGACAAAGGAGTACATAGAGCTGTCACCCATACCTATAGCAGCCACCCAAGGCCTTCAATACTTATGGCAGCACTAACCAGACAAATCACAGCACTATTTCTTAAAAGCATCCCAAACTTCCACAAAACTAAAAATAAAGAAATAGAAGCTTGAGTATTTTTCTGGGTGATATGATTGGTACAATGAAAATAACAAATGAGAGATCCTCAGGTTGAATGCATACTGTAGAGAACAAGGTAGCTATGCAATTAGGAAATGGGAATGCAGTTTTGAAGGCCAAGACCTTCCTGCTTTCATGGAAGCTGAGTTGGAGCCCTGGGCCCTGCACAAGTGAAACAAACATATTGTGACAAAGGATGAAGGTAGCTTTTAGCAAAAGGAGAATAAACCAGAGAAACTAGACCACTTAAGTGTCTAGAAGAAGGTGATTAGTTGTATCGGAAGATGTTAGTCTTTTGTTAGTTGTATCTGAAGTAAGAATGTACAAATTTAGATACTGCTGTGGATTTACAACACTGAGGTTAATTCATATGGGACAATCTCTGTCATCTCCTGAATATCTCCTAAACATCTCTTCCAGAAACCACGCATGCATAGGCAGACACCTGGTGTATAAAATACTTCCATGAATTACTGCCTGCAGGACCTCTAACTAATTTCCAGGATTATAAATTAAACACAAATAATATTTCATGTTGTTATTTGCATTAGCAAAAATATAAGCATTACTTATTTTTACCTCAATAGTAGCATGACTCCAACTTCATTTTTATCTGTACATTCCTATTGTTGCCAATTTCCTGGTTTTTAAACTATGCTTTATTCAGTGTATCTAAAGGAAACTCTGGCACTTTTGCCACTAATGGCAGTCTATGGATACAGCACTGATGCACGAATGAGGAGATTGGGTCTGCTTGAAATGCAACACTATGAAGGAGCATACAGCATAAACCAAAATCCTTAGCTCTGAATGCTATGGTTTGTTACAAATAAAACAATAAATTCTGTGAACTACAAGTCCTTCAATCCTTTTATACAAGCCTGAGCATTTGTAAAACTTCTTCAAAAAATCATTTCAGAAGAATCCTTTGAACTGTCTGGTGACTTTTCCAAAAAGTGTGTACTAAAAGACAAAGGTTGCAAAAGCACCCTAAGGTGCTTAGGTTTAGACACTTCATTTTCCAAAATTTCCATCATCTCAAGGTTAAAATGAAGTATATGTCTACTGATATATAATGGAAAAGCTTTTTCCCATTGCTTGAGAATGACCTCTGCTTTCCTTAAACATGCATGTATTCCATGCATAAATTTAACTTCATATTAAAGCCTTGTGTTGTTTGTTCGGTTTTAATTTTAACTTCTGCTGAATTAAGCAGTGACCTTAATCTTAGAACAAGAAAAAAGGAATGTGTGTTGTAAATTGTTTGAAAGAAAAAAAATGACTGGTGAGGTAAGTGCTGTCATCACCAGTTCAACATAATAACTGCCTTCTCGAAGCGAGAGAGGAGCCAATGCAGAGAGGTGCAATGCTGGACCTTGTTCTCACCAACAGGGAGGGTCAGGTGGGGAATTCAAAGCTCAAGGGCAGCCTTGGCTGCACAGACATCAAATAGAGGATTTTAAGATCCTTAGGGCAAAGAGGAGGGCGCACAGCATGCTCAGTACTCTGGAATTCCAGAGGGCAGACTTTAGCATCCTCCAGGATCTGCTTGGTAGAGTAACATGGGATAAAACCCTGGAGGGAAGAGAGGCCAAGAAAAGATGGCTAATGAATGATGCATATCAACAAAATGAAAGTCAAGCAAAAATGCCAGGAGGCCTATGTGGATGAACAAGTAGCTCCTGCACAGCCTCCAGCACAAGAAGGAAGCCTACAGAGGGTGGAAGCAAGTTCACATAGCCTGGAAGAAATCTAGAGAAATAGTCAGGGCAGCAATGGATCAGCCTAAGAAAGCTGAATTCCTCACAGAATTAAATCTGACCACGGATATCAAGGGCAACAAAAAAAGCTTCTGTAGGTACAGTCCGTGATAAAGGGAAGACTAGGGAAAATGTGGGTCCTCTCCAGAAAGAAACAGGAGACCTGGTTACCTGGGATATGCGTAAGGCTGGGGTATTCAATGATTTTTTGGCCTAGGTCTTCACTAGCAAGTGCTCCAGCCACACAGCTCAGATTACAGAAGCCAAAGGCAGGGACTGGAGGAATGAGAAACCACACACTGTACGATCATATCAGGTTCATAACAATCTAAGGAACCTGAAGGTGCATAAGACCAGAGAACCTGATGAGATGCATCAGCAGGTCCTGTGGGAACTGGCACATGAAGTGTTTAAGCCACTGTCCATCATAGTTGAGCAGTCGTGGCAACCCAGTTAAGTTCTTGTTGACTGGAAGAGAGGAAACGTAACCCCCATTTTTAAAAAGGGGAAAAAGGAAGACCCAGGGGACTACAGACTGCTAAATCTCAACCTGGTGCCCAGCAAGATCATGGAGCAGGTCCTCCTGGAAACTATACTCAGTCACGTGGAAAATAAGGAGGTGATGGATGACAGCCAACATGGCAAAACTGTGCTTGACAAACTTGGTGGCGTTCTGTGTACGGTCACAGTGTTGAGAGATAAGGAAGAGCCACTGATGTCTAATCCACCTGGACTTGTACAAAGCATTTGACACTGTCCCACATGACATCCTCATCTCTAAAGAGAAGTGACATGGATTTGTCAGATGGGCTGCTTGGTGGATAAGGAATTGTCTGGAGGATCACACTCAGAGTTGCAGTCAACAGTTCAATGTCCAAGTGGACCACTGACAAGTGGCACTCCTCACAGGTTAGTTGAGACCTGCACTGTTTAATATCTTTAACAATCTTGAGGGATGGACCTGTTCAGACCTCATGAAGTTCAACAAGGCCAAGTGCAAGGCCCTGCAATTGCCCCCAACCTGAGCTGGGGCAATCCCAAGTGCAAATACAGGCTGGGTGGAGACTTGATTGAGAGCAGATGTAAGGAGACAGACTTGGGGGGTGCTGGTTGACAGGAAGCTCAATGTGAGCCAGCAGTGTCTGCTTGCACCCCAGAAAGCCTACTGTATAGTGGACTGCAATAAAAGGAGTATAACCAGCAAGTTGAGGGTGGTGATTCTCCCCTTCTACTCTGCTCTAAAGTACTGCATTCAGCTCTGGGGCCCCCAGGATAAGAAGGACATGGACTTGTTGGAGTAAGCTCTTAGGAGGGCCACAAGGATGATCTGTGGGGTGGAACGCCTATCCTACAAAGACATGCTGACAGAGCTGGTGGTGTTCAGCCTGGAGAAGAAAAGTCTCCAGGGAGACCCCAGAGCAGCCTTTCAGTACCTAAGAACCAACAAGAAACCTGGAGAGGGACTTTTTGTAAGTGACAGGATAAAGGACAGTGACTTTAAACTAGAAGAGGGTAGATCAAATATTAGGAAGAAATTTTTCACTATGAGGGTGGGGAAAAACTGTAACAGGTTGACCCAAGAGGCTGTGGCTGCTGAAGTGTTCAAGACCAGGATGGATGTGGCTTTCAGGAATGACTCTGAGATTCTGTGATCCTAGTCTAGTAGGTGTTCCTGCCCATGGAAGGTGGTTGGATCTAGAAGATCCTTAATGTTCCCCCTAGTCCAAACCATTCAGTGAGTCTATGATCACAAGAAACAATGCTGACAGGCCTTGCATATTTAGAGTCTGAGGAGGAAACAAGTTCTCTGGCCTCTTTACTAAAAGAGAGGCTTGTAACACGACAAATATATCCCATACAAGCTTACTCACACGCTTATACATCACTATGCTTTGGAAATCACACGGCATGAAAACAGTTGGCTTCAGCACCATAATTTGGAGGTAAAAAAATTCTGCTCTTTTCATAAGCAATTTAAATAATTCCAGAAGATGAATAAAAACTAGTGCTAGTTTTTAATCTTCTACCAATTCTTAGCATCAAACACTAATTATTTGCATTCTTGCCCCCGTTGAAACAAATCTCTATGTATGCCAGAATATGGCTTGACAACATGGTCTAACAGTCAGCATGTCAATGTAGCGAAAATTTATGTATTTAAGGCCATAGTGAAACCCAAACAAGTGAAAACTAAATCAATAACAATTACAGCTTCCCTATTAAATGTGGTGAAAAAGTAATGCTCATGTATTAATAGGATGCTTCAATATTCACAATGTCTTATTCCTGCTCCATGAAATCAGCCAGATGATTGAAACTTGTATGCATTAATGTTTTGCTAATAATACTTATTTCACAAATGTTAATGGCTCACCTGTAGATTCTCCATCATCCCAGAACAAGTTCCCAGAAGCAGCATTATTGTCATCCAGAGCAATTATAAGTCCCATTGGATTCTTGCGGCTGTTGAAAGAGAGATTTTCTGTCTTACATCTGTAACAAATATCAAACCAGTCTGAATGCATCCTTCATGTTCATTTTGAGAATGTGACGCTTAACAGGGCTGCAATACTTTGAGAATTACCTTAGATTAGCCCTTGGCCGCCTTTCATTTTTATGTCAATTTATTAAAACACATGGCAAGTTTACAAAATGCTATGCAAATAAACCTGGAATTAATCACTGCACCTGTAATGTAAACACTTGTGGAAGTGAAGTGTGGCTCACAGTTACCCCCATATTTCAAGGTGAAAATGCAAAATACAATGGGCTGCTACTGGTTTGTAACCTGAAAGTCCCAAGGCAGGTCTTGATAAAACAGATAAAACCACCCAGTTTTAAGTCATACCTGGCAACTGTTGTGTTAGCTGGTTGTTGAGTAGGGTAGACGTAGCCTCCTCGCAAACGGAGTCCCATTTTGTCTGCTGGCAGGTACATATCAGTCCATTCTTTTCTTACTGAGATTTTTGCTCCCTTATTGGCAGGGAATTAAAAGAGAATGGGTACCTTGCATTACTCTTTGCTGTGAACTTTTTCTTATGCCATGAGTTTTATCTTAATGCTTCCTTTTAGAAAAGGCTCAAATTATGTAAATATCTACTTGCCAATGGGCATATAAAGGCATTGATTCATGCACTTAACCCACCGCCTTTCTTCCCTTATCTCACCATTTCCTTCCTGCACGGTTTATTTTAGGTGTCTCTCACCAAAGCAGGGCTAAAAATCTTATGTCATCACATCTCCATTTACAAAATCTCCCCACAGCTTCCTCTGCATTTACTTACCGTATCATACTCATACCACACAGCATCAGGTATATATGCTCGAATTGAAACCACACCCTGAAAGATGAAAAAGAAATGATATCCAGAAAGGAAGAGAGCAATCCAGGCACAATTTCTGCAAAGCTGCTGGGAGGCCACTGAATCAACACTTTACAATGCAGCAGCTCATTGACTGCAACACAAAGTGACAATCCAGTAGCTCCTATCATACCCACAAGTATCTCTGTGTCTTCTTTATTTCCCCCTTTTTTGAGCTGGCATCTTTCAGATCCTTACTTTCATTTTATGTCTTTAATAAATGGCTTCGTTTTCTCCATGGCATATGTGTTACTGGCATTAGCAGTCACAAGTTACAAGATTCTGCCATGAATAACCCACAATCTGTTTTCTTGTTTCAGCTCAGACAAGCTGAAAATCAGCAAGAAAAGCTGATTCTGATGGAAATTCAGGGATAAAACAAAGTTGAGGTGGATCAGAATATCAGACCAGATGATTTTGAGTCCACGGAGGACTGGAAAGTTTTATAGTACAAAGTGCAAGACTTTTCATTTCTGCAGTGATAAAACTGGAATAATAAATGAAGAGAAAAAAAAAAAAAGGAAAACTTAAGCTTGCTGGGAATCCCTCTACAGGCTGAAAACCTGAAAGTCCCATGCCGACTCTTGAAAAAAAAAAAAAAACATAAAACCACTCAGTTTAAAGGTAAACCTTGCAACTGTTGTGTTAGCGGGTTATTGAATAGGGTATATATAACCTCCTCTCAAATGGAGTCCCAGTTTGTCTGCTGGCAAGTACATATCAGTCCATTCCTTTCTCACTGAGATTTTTGCAAAAACCATGATTGCACTGGTGATAGAGCTGTGGTAATGTTATTGAACAAGGCCCTTCGCAATCACTTTGCCACAAGACTTTACAGGTCTGGTCAAGACAAAGAACTGGACCAGAGCAAAGTTCCTGGGATCCTTGGGGAAATGGCAGAGCCTACTTTTGTGGTTCAGCTTTTTGCAGTATTCAAAAGGAGGAGGAGTGTGATTTCAGCTGGAAAGGCATATATAGTTGAGGATCTATAACCTGTAAGCTGAATAACGGAATTGTCACAAGACCAAACAACAAAGGTTCAGAACTTGAAGGTGGTTTCTAACCACAGAAATAAAGGAACAGAAATAGTGTAACTGGGATTTTATGCTGCAGTCACCTGTCAGAGAAAAGAGCTGGAGCTGGTGCCTCAAAGTATCCCTGTGCCCTGTGAAGTGGTCATGAGGTAGATACCAAAACAGCCAAACCTACCGGGTCAAGTACAGGGGAAATAAGCAGCCGAGAATCTCACAGTAACTGCTTATCAACATTCCACACCTGTTCATCACAGTAGAACCTGGGTAAGTGGGAAGGTTATAGCAGCATCTGTGCTTAGGAACTATACCCTCACGTCTAGAATCATGACTGTAGAGTGGCATATCAAAATTGCCTTTTAAAAAAAAGTCTTACTAGTTTAGTTGGTATCCTTTACACGTGTGAATGTGTAGGTGTTCATGTGTCCTTGACATAGCTTAGTCAAGAGTTTCAAGGCAATGAAACATATATTCTAATGTGTGTATAAGCACACAAACATGTAAATATATATATATATGTGATGGTGGAGAATAATTTAATTAGCTGACAATAACACGTCATAGTAACTTGTAAGAGTGACTGATAGTAACATATGCATAGATGGAGAAATTAGAGATAGGTTATGATTACTCAAAAACAGTAATTCATTCCAGTGTGCATTTTCACAGACTACATCAGTCTCCAGAAAGTCCTTAACAATATTTAGTGTGTTTGATTTATTTATACCTGATAAGAGTAGCGCAAAGGCTGATAAGTAAAATTACCTTTGCCCAAGTGGTCGTACAACTGTGTATGGTAGGGCAGGAAGGTGTAGTGAATGTTGAAGAAAAGGAAAGGAATACTTGGAGGTTTTCACAAAGACTGAATCAGGTCCAAACACAGCTGATCCTGAGGCTGAAAACAAAGTTCATATTATTATTATTAATTTTTTTTTCATCAGGCAAAATACAGTCTGCCAAATGTGAAAAGTGCTGTTTCAGAGACAGAAACTCAATGGTGCTTAGCTGCATCGTGTTTGCCTTTTCAGTTCTGTGACACCAGAAACTGCTTCTATGGGCTCATAGCGTTTTGAACTGCATGTTCTCCCCTACCCATCTTTAATAACAACAGAGTCATTCAACACATTTAAACTGACTATTAGCTAACACTGCCCATAAATCTATTTCTTCCAAACTTTTATCTTCCTGTTTGGTGCTAATATGCATACACTGGGGAAAAAAAGTTAAAAATTCGGACAAATTTAAATCATGGAAAAGAATTTGGTCTACTGCACAGGCACCACATGGCTTTCAAACCATCAGGTTTCAGTTGTAATCTTCAAGTTATCTGTGAGATACACACTGCTTGTATTGTGTATGTGTGATACTACTGCTTACAGTAATGACTGTCATCAGGTATCTGCAGATAACTTACTTTAAAATGTTGCATTGAAGTATATTTAAAAAAAAAAAAGGACAGCTACAACAACTCAGTTTTGATCCCAGTTCCACAGATTATTTTAAAAGACATTTAACTGTAATGTTCAGAGCTACAGAGAAAGATTTCTTACCCATGGCATTGCTATTCATTAGAAAAACACCAAAGGAGGCTCCAGTGTTGTCTTCCAAACACAGGAAGAAAGTTTGAACTCCATATAAGTTATCCATTGCCTTAAAGGATAAAAAGGGAAAGTAAGATGATTAAAATCTAATTATGGTATCTGTTCTGGGGTATTTAAAAATGTATCACAGGTAGAACTTGAAGCTTCTCAAAATATAGCCAACAATAAAAATAAAAATCCTGACACCTTCCTACAGATCTGTTTTTTTCTTCCTGGCATTCATCTCTTTTATGAGAGCATTTTGCATTAAAACAAACACTTCCCCAGATATACAGGTAACACAAGCAAGCAGATGTGATGGATCTTCAGGCAAATCTGCATATAGCAGTACTATTTCTGGGTAATATCTACGCACATCAAGCAAACAACAGAACTTGAAGAGTGCATTCATAACCCTTCACCATAGATTAGATTTTACATCTACTCTGTATTTCTCTTAATCTTGCAAAATAATCGTTTTTATGTCTAATCTATGGAAATAAGAGTGCCTTGCTTTATTTCATTTCTTTTCTAATGTTGTTTTTCTGTTATTATTAGCAACAAAAACCTTAGAAACTTTAACAACTATTGTAATAGTTGTTTCCCCTGTAAAAGAGAACTCAGAACAATTTAATGAGAAACAGAACTTGAGCGACTTAAAGTTAGTCTAACGATTCTGTTCACTGTTAGATTAACTTAATGGGTCTACACTCAATAGAGCTGTTCAGATAAGAACTATCTTCAAACCTCAATGTACTAATTATTAAGAACAGGTAGCTTATAAGAGGAATATTTAGCAGACATAAAAAATAAATGTGATTATTTCTACAACAATGTTTGTTTACAGTGAGACAAATGTGAGCTTATATACATATTGCTCCTGAAAACAAAAATGACCTTCATGATGTTTCACCAGGGTAAATCATACTGTGCATCACTTTCTTCAGTAATTTTAATTTGACAGTGCATAATTAGTTTCTCCTGTCAAATTCCTACACAGCTATCAAATTTGCAAAGAAAATAAAAAAATCTAACAAATCTACAGAAAAGGTAGAAAACTCAGAAGACCTGAGAAATAGAAGGTGTGTGTGTGTGTGTGTGTATGTTTATTTCAGTGTCACAGAGGGCTGTTAATATAGAATTACAGTTGTCAGAGCAGTTGGATTTAGACAAGAAGCAAGGTCCTGTTGGGCCACAGAGCGTTTCAACCAGCAGAGCTGGAAACAACCAGCAAACTGAAAGGAGAGAACTCAAAGGAGACAGCTGAGAAGCAGGAATTTTTTGTTTGTCCTACAGCTGTGCTTAGCTAGGCCCTTCTTCTGCACAGCATTTCCTTGCCAGCTAATGGGGGAGGACACACAGGTATCACAAATACAGGAGAGACAGCTGAAGGACATACATATTTCCACGGCTCACATTCAGAAGTATCTACCTGCATTAGATTAATTAGGCATTAGATGCCTAATTAATTTTAACAATTCAGCTCATAACAATGTCCAACACTGATATTGTTGTCCCTAGTGAGCTCACTCAGACAGTGCTTACCTTGCCGTACATAAAAGCAAACACTGCAATGTCTTCTCAGAAAAAACTCTCCTAGAAGGTTTCTCAAGGTAAGAGGTACAAATTACAAATTATTAATTAGTTACATGCAGTCTGTCCACCTAGTTTCTATTAGTATATATCCTATTTCAACAAAACACTGAAGTGCTCTCTCAAAGCAAATGTATTGCTCCTTTATGAAGCTGAGGTAATAGTGATGAATGGTGCTTATTTGAAGCTCACAAGCTAGTTATAAATCAATTACTTTACTTTAGGAACTCCAATAAAAACAGCCCAAAAATATTCATGTTAACGAATATTCTTTCATTCAAGCTTGACATTGATTGCTTTCTCTAAAATGTCCATAATGTGTTGATTATGTACTAGATATGTAAGTATTTAAATGTTTTTATGCAGAGCATTAACTCAAGTGAGTGCTTAGAAGCTTTAGCAATTTCCATAGTCCAAGCAAAATATATTCATGAATATAGCAATAATATTTGATTGTTTGTATTCCCAAAGTACAGAAAAATCTTTTCTCTATATATTTTCTGAATACAAAGTCAGAAAGAGCAAGAAGCAGAAAATGAGTATCACTGTTCGATTCAGCGTGTCACCTGATTAACCCATATGTGCTCAGTCTATCTCTGTTAACAAATCAATGCAGTGAGGAATTGACAGAGCAGCACCACATACTTGTGTGCGAACTGTTAAGAGAACTTGGATCAAAGTCTAAGAAGGTGTCCATGCAAATATAAGAGTCTTATCTTAGAATTACTGAAAAATGCGTGCACTGGAAATCATTTTGGAGAGAGAGCCACACAGATTACAGAAACAAATAACTGCTGACAGACATATT